GGGAACTTTCAGAGTTTATAACTCAATTTCATAAATTGAAAAGAGTTTGATCTTGGGAGTAATCACTTCTCTGGTCCAATCCCGGAGAGTCTTTCTCATTTAAAACCTAAAAAAATGAACCTTTCTCATTATAAGATCTACTAACTGTAATGTTTGAGATGGTTTACACTAGAGTCTAAAAGCACCTTTGACATCAAATCCTCTGTTTTTGGCTGTTAGAGACAGGACTAACCTACCAATGCCACTGCTGGGTGCTAGCTCTCAAAATGCGAAGCTTCTTTTTTCCATTCTTCTCTTTGTCCAAACTCGACGATCTTCCTTGACACCAATGCAGTTTCTCAAACCAAACCTTATCTAAATTCAAGAGTTTTAATGAAAGTCTAATATTGATAGCAAAAATAAACATTCAAGTATGAACAATATAAAGGGCAGTTTGGGTATTTAAAATACTTTAAACAAACAGATGAGAATCTTTTTTCGAATTTAACTAACAGAACATTAACGGAGGGGGGTCTTTGTCTAATGACCAAAGTTCATGGGGGTGTTTGTCACCAAAAAAGAAGTGTAGGGGGGTCTTTGTCATTGACCCCATAATATAGGGGGTCCTTGTAATTTACCCTTTTTTGCTTGTTATAGGAGAAAGGTGCTTGCTTAGAGCTAGTGCTGTGGAGGCCAATTTTTTTAAGTCCGGATCTCCTGCACATTAAGATCTGTACATTTTCCTGTACAACCTATTATAATGTATCGGGTCAGCATCCCATGATTAAATTCCTATTAACTAGTTAACATATGTGTTTGTTTCCTTTTCTTATTTTTAAATATTAAAATACATTTAAAAAAATAGAAAACCCTCTTCTTCTTCAAGGGGTTTACTGCCATTTCTTTTTAAGAATCCAAATATATGTACCAATTTCTTGACCATGCTTTTGCTATGAGAAAGGCTTTTGCAAAGAGGGTTGGCTGGAAACATTAAAAATGGAATGGGGAGAAGGAGATGCCTATAGCCTACTCAAGATGCAGCAACGATGATCTAGACAAGTTTGAAAGCTTATCTTCTCCATTGTTTTGAAGCACTACAAGAACTTCGAGAGATAGCCTTGGCCAAATATAAAAGTCCCGACTAGACCCAAAAGCTAGCAGAAAATTGAAGCACATGATGGGAGGCTCTCTCTATCATGGTTGTTTAGAAAGTTCAGGTTAGATTTTGTCTCCATGAGAGGAGATAGGCCCCTTGTTTTAAGGTATTTTGAACAGAGGGAAGTGGAGAAAGGTAATGTGCAATGATGCAAACAGACAATAAATTTTATTGTTTTCCCTTTTGTTGCATATTAGAAACAGATTTTCTTTGTTTCTTCTTTACTGCAGAGAGCTTAGTGAAGGAGAAATGGTTTTTTTTTTCTCTATTTTCTAATGTTTTTAATATTAAAAAATAAAAAGCAAAGAAATGGAAGCCTTTCTAGCATACATGTTCACGCATGTAAGAGTTTAATTGTGTGAAGCTGAGTTGGCCTATTATGATAGGATGTATAGGAAAATGTGTAGGAAATCCTGACTCATTTTTTTTTTTTTCAATTAGACGTTTCTTCAATTAGCTATGGAGATAACCAAGTCAGTGGTGGCCAATTGGTACATTAGCTGAGTAGTCCCAATGGATATGTAGATTTGAGTCCCGCTATTACCACTTATCTACGGGTGTTATTAAAGTGTTCTATGAAGTACCAAAAAAATAGCTATGGGGCTATTGCTATTTACTCGTACACCTTGGTTGCCACTTTCGCTCTAAATGGACAATCTTTTTCTCTTCCTCGGTGATGTAACTTTTTGTTGGATGATGTGTGGATTATGTCTATCTCTTTGGACTTTCTTTTTTTATTTTGTAAAAACATCTTATAATGGTTTAGCACACTGTTTAACCTCTATTTTTGAACTTGAATGATTGTATATTTTTGCTCTATGGTTAATCTATTTTTTATTTTCTATTAAAACATGGGTGGTTTCAGTGTTTGATCCAAACCTTAGAGGTGGTATATGTAAATTATCCAAATAAAAAATAAACAATTGGTGCTCAACATTTTCTTTAATTTTTAATTGTCATGGATGGGTTAGGGTTGGTTGGCACATTAAAATAACAACACCGATAAAATAATTTGGGCTGTGTATACCTTTACACATTTTATTTTAGGAATATAGATATTAGAATGTATTTACTTTGCACATATAAGTTCATTGATAAACATCATTTGATTCTTCTTTACATAACAATGCTAACTTTACTTGTTATTTCTAAGAACTTTATATTATAAAATATTAAAAAATACAAGTAACAATCCCTTCATCTTATATGTTGGGTAATAGATGCTTTAAAGACCCACCATTTTCCTTTTTTTTTTTTTTCTTGCTCCATAGGGCTACACATTTACACAACGGGGGGTAGTCTATCCCCTCCCTTACCCCCGGCTCAACTCTGGTAGTGGCGCGATTTGATCTGAGGTCTTTATTCCAACAGGTTAGAGATCCGACCTATTGAGCCACCATCAGTTGGTAAAGACCCACCAATTGGAACACCATATTGTACTAGCATGTTAATTTATGTGTTATTTTTCAATTGAGTCCTATTTTTATTCTTTTTTTTTTGCTTCTATCAACTGAGTTGTTTTAAATTGGTATTAATCAAGCTATTCCTGTGGAATCTCAGTTGGATGAGAGGAATAAGGAACGGTTTTGGGAGTGATAGTTTTGGGGCAAAAAAAAGGGAGATTTTCATGCTGAGGTTGGGGTGGCAACAACATGGGCTTTTAGAGGGAACCTTGCACCCCCTCTAGAATTTCTTGGTTGGAGTAACGGAACAAAGAGAGGCCATCTAACGTGGCTTACATTACTTTTATATATCTATACTATATATAAAAGTGTAGATGCAGAGTGAAAGTTTCTTTTGGACTAAAATTACTCTTTATTTCTTGTTTGAGAAAGGATATAAAAGTAGTTTTATTACAACTTTAATGCCAGCAAATTTCCCATATTTGTCAATTTAGCCCATCTCTAATTTTAAGGGTTAAAAATATAACTTCAATGATTACTTTCCACCTCATTTAATCCCCTCTCATTATGTCTTATACTTAAAGCATTAACTCCCATATTCTCTTATTAAATCCTATATTCAAGTTATTTTTCGCTAATAAATGCTACTAAATAGATCTATGTCAATAATTTTAACATTATAAACCCATATATTTTAGAACCGACTAAAAATAAAACCATTATTTATCCAAGTGGTGGGTCATCCTATCAAATTGATCGACATATGAAGTCATAGTTAGGTAATACAATTTTTAAAACTGAAATAAATATAGAACATTACAAAAATGTAAAAAAAAGTATTAGAACTGGCCGAAAATGAAATTATTTTATTGTTTGGCAAAGATCAATAGTTCAACTTTTGGGTCAAATCTATTAACATTTAATGTCATAAATAAATAATAAAAATTAATAAAATATAAAAATGAAAAAATACATAATTTTTGGAAAAAAATCAAGCACATGTATAATATCATATAATTATCGTATTAAACAAAAAGTAAGTGTGACATATCATAATTATTTCTACACACAGAAATACAAAAATTATAGAAAAAAGTGAACACAACTATAATTCTATATTTATGCTACTATTAAAAATATGAATAAGATCGTTGAACTTTCTTTTGACTAAAATATTCATATTTTAATTTAGTCCCTATTTAGTTATGAGATTTAAATGGTAAATTGAAATATTAATTTTCACCTCATTCAATTTCCTCTATTTAATTTTTTACATTTCTTTAATAAGTGAACAAAAATAGATACACAAAAAGATAAAACATTACAAATAGAAAAACCTAGGTAAATAGGTAGGCTTGTCAATGATACTTTAAACTTCACAACAAGATCCAATTATCACATATTTAGAGAGAGAGAGATAATTTTTTGAATATATTATTACTATCATTATCATTATCTAAAATTGCCATGTAAGTACACACTTACAAGTAGATTCAATAGAATTGGGATCACCTAACAACAAAATTCGTTCCAACAACCTACCAACATAATCTTACACTACACATCTCATACATGGTGGATCCCATTTTTATGGTGAGATGTGTGGTTTTTGATCAAGTTGGTAGGGGGTTGGAATGTGTTTTGTTAGCATAAAGATCCCAATTTGATTCAATAATCACTTACTTTTCACTCCCAAACATAGTCGGCTTTGATGCAACCTCTACCACCTTTTGGCGGGATTTCGTGTAATGATTAACGAATAAAAAAAGAGTCGCTACATTATATATTTATACTAGTGGGGACCCGTGTGATGCATGGGATTTATCAAGGAAAGTGAAATAACCAAAACTTATAATTAAGAAAAAAATGCAATGTTATTTAAAATAATTAAATCTTTGTTTTAATAATTTGTTACAAAAATGTTTTAGTAATTTAGTAATTTAGTAACTTAGGTTAATTATATTATTATATTAATATTTGTAGCAAAAAATAATAAATTATTGCTAATTATTTAATAAAATAATTATTTTTCCATATTATTTGTAGTGTTATATTTTATTTATTTTACTTTATTAATGATTAAATATTTCAAATTTTTATAAATATCACTTAAATATTTAAATTACTTAAAAATTAGTAAATATATAAAATTAAGCTATAATCATAATTAAATTAATCAATAGTTAACTTTTTATTTATAATTACATTATTACGAGTAGATTCAATAACATTGGCATCACCTTACAGCAAAATTCATTCCAACAACCTACTTGGCGGGTCCCATTTTTATGGTGAGATGTGTGGTTTTAGATCAAATTGGTAGGGGTTAGAATGTAGTGTTTTGTTAGCAGAAAATCCCAATTCGGTTCGATAATTGATGCAACGTCTACCGCCTTTTGGCGGGATTCCGTGTAACGATTAACCAATAAAAAGAGTCGCTACATTATATATTTATATTCCATACGTGTCCCCATTGCGAAAAGCTTGCTTTCCCTACTCACGACATATTCATCTTTCATCTACCCACTGAAATTCTGAAGCTCGAATTACCTGAGTTGCCCTGCACCAAACGTCCACCAGGCTGAAATACCGAACGGCTCTCAATCTCCATCGATCCTTCTGTATCCGGAGGGAAGATCCTGAATTTTGGAGATGCAACAGGGAGATTTCAGCAGCGCTCCTTATTACCACCAATACCATCAACCTCATCTTCAAAACCTTAACCCTAACCCTAACGATCTCCAGCCTAATTCCCTAAATCCGACCTGTGCTTCTGCTCCCCCTTTCTCTGCCAATTGTTCTGCGCCAGATTACTCAGGCTTTTCATCTGAGTATCCTCCGTATTCACAGAATTCCGAACCTGTCCCCAACATCCCCCCTTCTGCTCCTTCTTACGCACAAAACCCTAACTTCCAATCCTTTACTCCCTTTTCTGAATCTTCTACCTTCCCATCTTTTCCACATACGCAAGAGCCACAGGCGTCATTCACACCTCCGATCCAGCAACCGGCTTATTATCCGCCATACGATCAGCATCAGACGCCTTCAAATTATACTCCTTCCCCTTCAATTCCTCCTAATCCTAATCCTAATCCCAATCTCAGTTCATCATTCCCTGCGCCCTATTCATATGGTCAAATTGGTTCTTCGGTGCCACCCCCACCGCCCGTATATGAAAATCTTTACGAGAGTAGCGTGAAATTTGATCATGGGGGAGGTTACCTCGATGATAATTCTGGTAGATATGGAGGTGCAGGCGTATACGGCCGAAACCGTTCCGATTTGGGGACAGATTTCTACGAGAATAGAACGGAGCCTCGTTATGATCGGGATGGGCTTCGTGACGATGGCCTTGGAGACGGTGTTTATGCCTATAATGGGGGAAAGGTCGAGCCATACAGTGCTCGAGGCACTGCCTCCAAGTCGTCTATGTTGTTGGCTTTCGATGATTATGGTAGGTCGATCAACTTCTCATCTGGGAAGGAACAGGCGGCTTCTACTAAGATTGTGAGAGCTGTTCCAAAGGCGGAGACGCAGCAAGACGTGAAGAATGGCGTTCTGAAATTCAGGGTCAAGCTTTTGCCAGAAGGTGGAAGTCCGGGCACCACGGATGTTCTTTGCCAGGTTCGTAGCTATTTCCTCATTGCTGCTTAAATTTATCCATTTGACACGTGCAAATACTGCAGTCTGGGGAATTAGAATAGATGATTCTTAATCAAGTCATTTAGTCAGTTAACGTAACCTGCATATATGATTTACATTTAGAATTTCAGATTACTCAGTTTTGTTTATGCAGATAGCTTAAATGCTTGTTTTATGTTTTCGTTTCCCTTTATGTTGCCCTTGGCATGACTTTTAGATGCTGAATTTGTGGTATCCTCAGACGTAACAACTATTGATCTCACATTCCTCAATGCGAGAGAAATTAGGAAGAAAATGTTACAATAACTCAACTACACTCTCAGTCAATTCTTGAATTGTTGGATGCAAGGAAGGTTGATTTTGAGCAATATTAAAAGAAGGAACATGTTACAGAAACTTGACCTCAATTGCTTTTCATGTAGCTTTCTTTTCAATGCTGTATGTATTTCTAATCATAGTTGTCAAGGTGACTAGGAAATTCTTGGGGACAGTGGGATGCCTAGACCGGCGCTAGGCAATACTTGGACAATGAGAATTTTTTAAAATAAAGAACTACATTTTCTTTTGGTCCCTAGTTTTGTATTACATTCAACATGCATATTAATTGAAAATATCAATTCTCTTTATTAAGAACATTAAATTTCCTCTCAAAAACATGTAAAACCATTATACCTAAAAGATAAATGTATTTTAAATATATCAATTTGAATATTTTTAAACAATACTAATATAATAAGTATTTATTGGAGCAATTTCATATAAATTAGCAACTATAGACGGCTATAATTTTATACGATAAAACTTTAAAGTGGAAAGTAACAACAGTGCGGGGAGAGAGAGAGAGAGAGTATACTTCTATTCTTTCTTTCTTTTTCTTCTCAAAATTCAACCCTCTACTCTTTTAAATTTTAAAAGTACAACTTTAAAACAATGTATATATATATATGTATATATGTATGTATGTATGTATGTATTTAACTCGATTCCTATTTGATATGCTTTTAAATACCACTAGACATTTTTTCTTTTTCTTTTTTTTAAAGCATTCACTTACTATTGTTATGTTCTAGTTTTTTTTTTGTATGTTTTAAAATTTCATCTCTCCTCTCATTACACTCCCCATATCCAAATCATCCATGTACCCTATCATATCTTTATCTCTTACCCTAGATGACTATTTACACCCCTGTACAAATTCTTGCCCTATATTTGGAATTTTTCTAAACCACTCCACCTATGTTTTCATAGAGTTGCCTGTTGTTCTTTTCATCTAATCCTTCTTAATGTATGCATTATACAAGCATTGATTACAATTAAAAACTTCATCTCCTAAAAAGCATGTTCTATGATTCTATCTGATCCTTACCCATTTTTTGCCACATGGATTATGATGCAGAATTGCTTCTAGGAACTTAGAGCACTTATATTTACATCTTATAGTAAATCTAGTCTTAGGGGCTATTTGACAACAACTGAAGTGGCTGAATTGAATGACTTATTGTCTATTGCAATAATTTCCTTATATATTCCTACTGAGGGATTAATAATACCAATCACTTCCTCAACCTATCCACTGTACAACAGCATGACCTTGTTGGCCATAATACCCAATTAGTTTCTGTGGTGCCACTGTAGGGATCAGAGTGAAAAGGGTTTCTAGTTTAATTTTTTTTTTTTCAAAATTTCTCCTTCAATGATATCAACATTTGACCTGTCTTTCTTTTGATCCAATAACCTGTGGTTCACTTTAACCTATCTATGGATCATAATGAAATTGTGGTCTGTTGAATGCTTATTGGAGTAATATAATGATTTTATATTTTGGGTCAAAGTTTAAAATGTTGCCAAGCTTCAGTGATTTCTTCCTCGAACAATGGGATCAACTATTTATCCATGTAATTGTCTAACATAACCTCTGATTTGTCTGTTTCGTCACTCACCAATGTTTGAATGACAGGGAAGTCTGTGAAGTTAAATTTGTTTCTTGGAGGCATGGAGTAATTATTATAGTGTTATTGCTTATAGAAGATATTTTTTCTGGTTCAGCCCCAAAGTTTTGGTTTCTTGTAATCTATTAGTATCATCTCACATATTAATGTATTTCATTTATCCCTTCTTTGTGACCTTGTATAATAAACTCTTACTTTCAAAGAATGTTTGGTTTATTATTTTCTTATCAGTGATTTATCAAAAAAGCATTTCTTTTCAGATTGGTTTGGATGGTATTCATATGCTTGACCCAAGTTCAAGTCGGACATTGAGGATATACCCACTTGAGACAGTGACAAGATGGGAGGTAAGTCAGATGCATTCTACACCTTGAACATTCTAGTTAGTTATTATGAACAATGTTATCAGATATGGCAAGGACATAGCTGGTAGGGTTGCATGTTGGGTACATGACTTAAAGAATTTTACAACATTAGGCTTGGGCCACCCAGATTAACAAATGTTACCCCTTGCCTGCCCAAGTTGTAGCCCTAATGGCTGGAAACTGTTGGATATGGAAATTAAAGTAGAAATTGAAGCATATGACATGATATGGCACCCTTGTATTGGTATACGGGTATGGAAATTTATGTTTCTTGCTAACTTACTGACGAGAAGTTAGGAGGTTGCATTCTTGTGGTCAAACTTTTTGGTTATATGTTTCTGAATGCCTTTCTGATTCTGTTGTTTTCTTTCTGAATTGTTCTGAAATTTATTTCTTCTGATTTAGGTTATCGATTCGTCTATTTTTACTTTTTGGTCCAAAAGCTCAGTTGACATTGAACCAAGACGCATAAGGCTACAATCAAACAGCTACACGACCAATACCATTCTTGACAATGTGACAGCTGCAACTGTTCAGGTAGGAAGTCCAAACTATAAATATTTTCTTTTGTTGAATGCAATGGTTCTTCCTGTCTCTTCTGGATAGTTCTCAATAGTATTTCTGTTTTTCTATATCTGACAATATATACATATGTATTTATTTAACAATGAGTGAAGGTTTTTTTAATGATAATAATATAAAAGAAAGAAACAATAGGATCTTTCAAGGAGCTGAAAGATCTAAGGAGAAAGATTGCATAACTATCAACGTCATACATTGTCTCAAATCTTCTCCTTTATTCAAAGACTATTCAGCTGAGGACTTGTTTAGAGGATGGAACATTGTGGCAAGTTGTTCTGTAGAGAGACTGGGCGAATGGGCCCTAGTACTTATTTATACTTTTTGACCAGTAGTACTTATTTATACTTTATGTGGTGTTCTCTTTATATTTTGTGTTAATGGGCCTGTTAACTTGTTTTTGTTTCTTTTAAGTGTTTTATGTGCTGGCCGCCCACTTAAAGGGAGAGATGTAATTAGTCTTTTTAAGTGAGACTAAATAAAAGATGAGGTAGAGAGGAGGGAATCCATTGAACTCTCTTCTCCTTCTCTTCTTCTTCTTCTTCTTCTTCTTCTTCTTCTTCCTTCTGCTGTAATCTCTTTTCTCTGTTCTTTTACTGCTGTAATCAGATTTATCATATTTGAAGGACTGACTTACATCTTGGTATCAGAGCAATTTCTTCCTTTTCTTTTTTTTTTCCTTTTTTTCCATACACCCCTTGATTAGAAGAGTGTATGGAGAGATAAGCTTCTGATCAATCAGAGGACTGTTTGCCTAGTTGGTAGTGGGTTTGGAGAACTAGAGTTTGGCTGATGAGTGCCAAGTAGCGAAGCTGTTATCTTTTTGACCAAAACCCTAGCCGACTAGATAGATTTTAGGTTACAGGATAAGGAAAAGGATTGGGTGTGGTGCTCGGGGCTTGGGAGGTGTCTTTTGATTCCTAGAAGGGGGCGGTTGAGGTTTGAAGAAGATTGGGAAGCTGTACTAGGAGCAACTATCTCTTCTCTCTTTCTCCCATTGAGCCGGGTGTAGTGAAACCCTAGTTCTTGAACCTTTTGGTAATGGGCTCGCCTAAGGTAGGCCTATAAAGATTGAAAAACTCATTTTTTGGGAGCAATCTAGAAGTGAAATGTAGCAGATTATGGTATCTGGGGTTAGTCCAACAGATTCCTTTTTGAGTGGAGTGGCTACAATTAAACTAGATCGAACAATTATCTAGCCTGGGCACAGTCTATATGGATTTATGTTTGTAGTAGAGGTAAACTGGGGTATCTCACAGGTAGTAAGAAGAAACCTACAAAGACGGACTCTACGTATGAAAAATGGATGCAGGAGAACTACACAATGATTGGATGGTTAGTCAACTCTATGCAACCTCACATAAGCCACCATTACCTCTGGATGACAAGCTAAGGAGATTTGGGATAGTGTCACTGAAACATATTCACAGAAGTTAAATGTTGTAAGAGCCTATAAGCTGAAGAGTGATGTGAACAATATGAGACAGGGGAAGAGTGTAGCGGTTTCCTACTCAATGTTAAAGTCATTGTGGTAGGAGAATGATGTTATGGAGACTGTTGTATGGGAGAGCACCAAGGATGCAAAGACATTTAGAAATTAGTAGAACAAAATAGGGTGTGTTGAGTTTCTTACATGACTCAACCATGAGTTCGACATTACTGGGTAGAATATTCTGGCCAGAGGTGAAGTCACCCTTGCTCAAGCATACTCTATAGTGAACAGTGAAAAGAGTAGGAAGTAAGTATAGCTACGGGGACCACCTTTAGAACACTTTGCAAATGCTGGGATAAAGCCGAAAGGGTCGATTGAGAAGAAGGAAATGATATGTGAATATTGCAAGAAACCGAAGCATACTAAGGACACTTGTTGGAAACTCCATTTAGAACTTCTCCCGGACAGGTTTCAAAACAACAGTAACAACAGTTTCAAAAAGAGTGGTTAAATAGGGAAACCTAAAAATGCAAATGTTGCTATAGTGCCTGTAGGCAAAAATAGAGAAAGTGAAGAAAAATCGGTTATGGAGCAACTGACTGAGTAAAGGCAGAGTTTTAAAGGTATTGGAGGTTACTTAATCACTTGGGGACCACTGTTGCAATATCTAACCCTTTAGGCAACAGCTCTTCATCCGCATTTTCTCACTCAGGTACTTGTGCTTCTGCAAATCATGCTATTGTTTCAAGTAATCATAAAATCCCTTGGATTATTGATTTTGGTGCATCGGATCTTATGACCAGTATACTTAACCTCTTTTGTTCATATCAGCTCCTCTCAGGTAGAGAGAAGATATCCCTTGCAGATGGATTTCTTGCTTCCATCTCTGGCAAAGGAGATATCAAAGCCTTTGGCACTCTTGTTTAATCCTCTGTTCTCCATGTCCCCAAACTTAATACCAATCTGTTATTTGTTAGTAGTTTGATTAAGTCCATGAATTGTAGCATAACCTTTTTTCCTACCCATTGTGTTTTTCAGGACTTGAAATCGCAGAGGATGGTTGGGGTGGCCATGAGGCGAATGGAATATACTTGCTAGACACACCTAGTAGAATTCTTGGACCACCTAATGGAGTTGCTTTGGAGTCTGTTTTGTCAGAGTCTATTGATCGAGTCATGTTATGCCATTTACGTTTTGGTCATTTATCTTTTTCTGCTTTGAGTCATTTGTTTACTGACATGTTTAAGGGAATATCTCTATCGAGTCTTCATTGTGAGTCATGTGAACTTGCGAAGCATTGTAGACAATCTTATCCAATGAGTAATAAAAGATCTATTTCTGCTTTCCATATTGTGCATTCTGATGTGTGAGGGCCATATCATTTACCTACTATGGGAGTTACAAGTATTTTATCCTCTTTATTGATGATTTCTCTCGCTATACTAGGGTTTATCTCATGAGATTCTGAGATGAAGTACCACTTATTGTGGAAAAGTTTCATGAACTCATTCTTACCCAGTTTAACACTCGGATCAAAATATTCTGATTTAATAATGTTAAAGAATATTTTGAGAAGAACCTTTCATTCTACTTTGATGCCCTTGGGGTTATCCATCAGAGTTTTTGTTTCTACACTCCATAATAGAATGGAGTGGTGGAAAGGAAGAACCACCATGTGGTTGAGGTTGCTAGAAGCCTCCTTTTTGCATCTCATGTTCCTACTAAATTTTTGGGGGATGTTGTCTTTACAGCTACATATTTAATTAATTGTATGCCTTCCTGGGTTTTGGGTTTCAAAACCCCTTTTAGTCGTCTCTTCTCGGATGAGGATTTCTTCTCTCTTCCTCTTCGAGTTTTTGAGTGCACCTGTTATGTGCATGTTTAGAATCATCAGAGACACAAATTTGTGCCTAAAGCACATAAGTGTGTCTTCCTAGGATATGCCTCCATACACAAGGGATATTGGTGTTTTGATCCGGTTCATGGCACCCGCTTTGTCTCCAGGGATGTCACATCTGTTGAGTCTATTCCTTTCTTTGGTACTTCTCTTAAGGGGGAGCATTATGAGGAGCCGTGTTATGGACGCATTCCTCGGGAAGACATACCATCGCCGCCGGCAGCAGTAGAAACTTGACCCACCGCCAGCATCAATAATGACTCAGTGATTCTCGGTCTACCCAATTCGGCAGTAGTAGTCTCATCCAGATTAGATTAGCTTATCTTGCTTGTTCTTATCTTATTTTATTGCTCTTATCTWATCTTGTTAGTAAGTTATCAGATTAGGATTAGCTTATCTTATCCTTAGCAAGATAGAACTG